GGGATGGTGAGAGAACCCCCCCCCCTCCCCCGGGGGTTGCCGTCAGCAGCGTCATGTCGATCTCATCCACGCAGACGTTGAAATCGTTGAAGGTGAAGTAGCGCTTTCGCGGGTTAACGCCGCGGCGATCCGGCGGCCTCCAGGCAGGGACCTCGGTCGAAACAGGCGAGGAGGAAACTCGGACGCCGTCCCCCACCTCGCTTTCCGCCATCGCGGGTTTTCGCCCTGCCAGCCGCCAATGCTTCATTTGCGCCTCCTTTGAGATCACCAAATCATCGTAGATAAATAAATCAGAGTCAATACTTAACGAACCCGTGCCAAGCGAGTGCGCCAAAGGCACCCCTGGGAACTCCGCACTGTCGGTGACTCTTTTCCCCGATATCATGAGAGAATTAGTTGCATTAGGACTATCGGTCTTGTTATGTACAAGGCAATCGCGCAGGGTATCCGGAATGCTCAGCGAGAGATCCGATACCGTGATATCGGAAAGCGATGACTCTGAGATCGGGAATTCGCTGGAAAAAGGAATGGTACGCAAGGACTCCAAGGTGTTCCCTTCTGGGTTGTGCGCCGCGCTAGCCCCTCCCTTTGAACACTCCCCTCCTCCCCTATTTTCTCTTCCGTCTTGTCCTTCGCCGATAAAAGGCCCTAGTGCGAAGTTCGCGAAATTCAGCGCGCTCCAGGATTCCATCCCTCCCCGCAACGGCGAGGCCTCGCCCAAGCAAAGGAAGTCCTGCTCGCTATTCCGGTGCAGCCCCAGGTGAAAATTCATCACACTGTTGAACTCAACGGTGCTGAGAAGCTCGAGCTTGATCGATGACTTCCGCGATGGCGGCTCATTCAGAGAGGACTTCCGTGAAGATCGTGAGTTCTGGCTGCTAGTCGCCTGCCTTCCACTATTTTGACCTCCTCCGCCATCGAAACTGGATAATAAATGAGGGTTTCGTCTACTTGTGGCGGTTCCCTCCGTTGACAAGACAGAGGGGACGAGGAAGGGATTGACGTTGATCTGCCGGGATAGAG